AATGCTACTTCTTACGTCCCTTCAGCAAAAGTCCAAGTGGAGCAGTGGTGGGATTCAATTTTTTTTACTACCAGTTCTGTTGGCATGGCTTGGTGGACATGGCAGGGGAAGGATACTGTAAAATCTCCAGACAGAGACTTTATTTGCCAGTTCTCCAAACTACTCAATATTTCCACTACCAGTTCTCCAGAACTGGTCAGAACCTGCTGAATACCACCTCTGAAGTGGAGCCAATGCATTCTAAATATTCCTGGCTTTAGGGCACTGTTGTAGTGCTTCCAGTTCTTATCAAGTCATTTCAGGAGGTGATGCTGAAACACATACTAGTCAGACTCAGTGCCATTATCAATGACCTATGACGTAGCATCTCAAGTTCTTTCTCTCTCCTATAGGGTTTAAGATAGTGATGATATTGCTGGGAGGGACATAAGGATGAAATGCTATCAGAATACTTATGATACAGTTTTGTTTTCTTCTTATCAGTTAATATCCAGCAAATGGAGACTATGTTTTACCTGAAGATAGAGTTGAAGAGCATCTGAGGCTTTAATTGATATAAAATATGGCATTGCATTGTGGATAGTAATCATATCACTGATATTGAAATGACTTCTTCAACTGAATTATTTTTCTCGCTCAATATCAGTGATATGATGCTAATATTAATATTTAAAGCCCTAAGTAACTTAAGGCATGGGTTTCTAAGTGATCTGTTGCAATATGCTGGTAAATTAAAATCTGCCTGTTCTACCTGTAACTGCTCACCTGTATCAAACAAGGGTCACATGGGTCTTCATATGTGCCAACCTAAATCTGGGAACAATTCTTTAGAGCTGATCCCATTACCTCTCTGCTTTGAGATAGGATATCAAGGTGTTGTTTTGCAATATGCCTTTCAACCATGTAGTAGATTTTGATACAATTACAATCATTGCATGGTTTTTAGTTGTATTAGCTTTGTTTATTATTAGCTGCTCTGAGTGATATTTTTTCTTTTTACTGGAAAGTCAGGATAAATGATATTGTTAATAATAAAAATAATAGTGTGAATACCCTGTTATTAGCAGAGTATTTGAAATGATATGGTTGCATGGAGTGTTGAGTTAGTCACATTATTGTGAATTTCCCAGCAGAAATGACATGGACCTAAGAACCCCCCCCCCCCACACACACACACACACAAATCCTATACTATGCAAAGCAAGCCAATGAATAAATCTGTATTTTCACTGTCTGATAGAAATGTTGCATTTGGAGAAATGGGTAGAATAATGATAAGGGTAGCCAATGTATCTTACCATTTTTTCTATCTTCATTGGAAGGGCTTTGTAATGAGCCCTGCCAGTATAAATGCAAGCTTGTAGTCATGACTATTTGCATAATATTTACACAAAGTGAGAGTGCAAATGAATGAGCACAATAGCTTACAATAAACACTGACAATTTGGTACTTTTCAGATGTCTTGGAATTTAGTCCCCATTAGTTCCAGACTACATGATTAATGCAAATGTAACTTTCTCAAGATCCGGTTCCATTCAATAGTCATTTAATTACACTATACCATGGCTAAATTATATTATATCAAGAAAAAGAAATATTATGAATCCTTTCAAATGGGTGGTTCATCAGTCACAGATACTGTAAAAATGTTAACTTTTCGATTTTTAAGATTTCTTTTGTGGAGAATTGTATAAGCAGAGGAATTGCACAGTAAAACTTCTTCTAGGAGCAGCTCATGTCTTTTTTTTAAAGCTGGGCTCGAGTTATTCCTGTTTCTTAATTAAAGATAAATATATCAAAATGTCCTGACAAGACATTTTGAGCATACACAATAACATTCTGATATCTTTCAGCTAGAGATGGATATCTCAGCCAATTATATGTGACCTTTTTAAAAATGCAAAACTTGAAGAATAAACCAAAAAGTGCCAGTATTTTCTACAGAACGTGCTTCTTTCTATTTTACTCCACTTGATTAAGCTGGTCTGCAGTTAAATATGTAGCTGTGCTAATTGTTGGAATCTGGTAATTGAGACCAACAGGGACCAAGAATATAGACACTGCAGAGTAAAGAAACTAAATGGTTGAAAACATCTGATTTGTTTTGAGGAAAACAATTGATTCTGTTCGTATGGGTCCTTTAATTTTGCAGAAAACTTTGCTAGAATTGTGTATAGGAAGTTTGACTTTCAGTTGTGTGCAGATAATAGCTAGGCAAGGTTGAGAAGGGATTTTTTTCTCTCTCTCTCTTTTCTCTCTCTTCTTTTTATAGAATGTCAAAGACATTACTGGTGGACGCCTTTTGTAAATGAATTATCTGTTCCTCTCTTGAATAAGTTTACTCTTTAATTCTCTGTGTCTGTGAATGCGTACTAAGCAAGCAAAGACATTTGGAGACAATCTTCAGAGTCAGATAAAATATAAAACATTTTTTCAAAGCATCCTTCTTGCTTCCACCACACATATATTTATATGAGCTCAGATAAATGCATTCATCTGGACTGTTCACTATGCACAATGCAGAGCACTGTAGGGTTGTTAGAAGGGAGTGGCTGCCATGCAGTAAGATGAATAGATCACCTGATTGGCACCCTTGTGAACAAGAAACTCTTTTATTGAATTATTTTCCAGAATAGTCCTATTTTTTTTAAACTGTTGTACCAAAGTAAAGAACATTTGTATTGCTATATTGAACCTGATCCATTGCGGAATGTTAATAACTTTTGACTTGATTCTAGTGATTTTTTACTTGATTGCAGTGGTTCTTATTAATGTCCTCTGCATCACTGTATCCAATTTGGGAAGTAATATCCGATTCCACATCCTGAAAGTAACTCAAGTTGGATTATAAATTGACAAATTATATGATGCTGGAAACCATCCTTATGATTGCTAGAATGAATGAGACCACAATGAATGTCAGATGTACAGTTTGATGAACAGGTGGTATTAAACTCATGTCTTCTTCTTGGGTGACCCTTAGGTATCTTGTTGGCAACTGGTAAGCAAAATGTAAGATGATTGATCTAATCTTTTTAGCTGTTGTTCTTAGCTTCTATAGTAAGGCAAGGCCAAATGTGCAGGGTTTCCATTAGCAAAGCAAGAAAGAACACTTTCACATTCAGTAAAAAAAAAGGATTAATACATTTTAAAATGGGTATCTATACTACATTTAGCATAGAAACCTATCTAATTACACCATTGTGCTTCACAGAACATACTGTTATAAAGAATTTAGATTTGTATATTAACTATCCAGTTATTTGTGGGCGGGTATACCTGTAGCTGACAATTGTACCTTTCCCAAAAATATCTGAAATATATCACAGAGAGAATGATGTAAATTGAAGCAGATGAAATACTATTTGAAACTACCTCTGACAAGTCCAAGAGTATATATTGACACTTTCCAGCATATAATATACTGAAGTCAATTTTCAAAATGCTTCTTTAATAAAAACTATCAATATCAGTTCCCATTTGTGATTGCTGAGATTATTAATAGATCTTTATGCCACTCTCCTGGAGAACTTGGATCTGATAGAAAATTGACTCTCCTGTAGTTTGGCTTTCATCATATATGAGTTCTGTGCTTTTACTGCAGATGCAATTTTAAAGTCACCTTTTGAAATTGAGTTGTTATGTTAATCCATCTTCTTTTTCCCTTTTCCACTTTTGGCCATTGATGTAACATAGAGATATAAAACAGAACTATGACCTATTTCAGCAGTAAAAAAAAAAATCTGAGTTAGAGTGAGTAATTTTCTTCATTCAGCAAAAATTTTCAAAGCAAAATGCAAATAATAGATTGCTTATTAGGTTTCTGAGATTCATTCTTTCAAACTGCAAGAAAAGACAAGTCCAAAATAATCCCTAATGTTTTTATGGAACTGTTTCTTATGAATCAATAAATGCCTTGATAAAAAGAAAAGGAAATGTATTTTCTTGAAAGGAGCCTTATAAATTAGCCTCCATAATTAGACCTAAACATTAAGCCCAGCTATAGAAGTTGTTTTGAATGGAGAATGTGTGAGGGAGTTTTAAAAATTTGATTTTATGTAATTTTGTGTACAGTATGTGAATGTACTATTTAAGATCTTTTATTGTACACATAGAAAAGAATAATCTAGACCAGAGGTCTCCAAACTTGGCAACTTGAAGACTTGTGGACTTCAACTCCCAGAATTCTCCAGCCAGCATAGAGGTCTTAAAGTTGCCAAGTCTGGGGAGCCCTGATGTAGACAGTGATGGATTGAGATGTATAGAAATGATCACAAAATTATTCCATCTTGAGCCATTTGGGAAGAGGATTAAGAAAAGGCCTCCTGCCTCACATTAATGACAATGAACACTGAAGCTGATGCAATATATGTAAATCAGATGACTTACATATAGCTATTTCTCCTGTCTATGGAGATTCTTAGTCATCCAGGTCATGATTGTCCCCAAAGTGCTTTTTCAAGAAACAACTGGATTTTCTGATTTTTCTTTGAAGACGTTTCACTTCTCATCCAAGAAACTTCTTCAGCTCTGTATTTCCCCTGCCATATAAAAATTATGAAGTTGAATGGGAGTGCGTGTTCATTACATGCACTACATTGAGACATCGAAGATTCATCACAGTACAGTATATGCCAAAATGCATCTCCCATATGTTTCAAAAAGTTTCTACATGAAGCTGTCTAGAAGCTTTCTTTCCCAATATTTGCAAGTCACAGCGGGAATGCTCGACATCAAGAACTTTTCAATGTAGTGTTCCCAATCCCCAAGCAATGAAATAGGAAAATAAATAGGAGAATCACAATGCTGATTAGTTGTTTGATTGGTATTTTTGCTTTATGACCCACTCAAATCCTTTTGGATAGCTTTGTCTATAAATCCAACAATAAATGAAATCTTTATTTTAGAAAAGTATGGCTGATCAGAGTTAAAGCGTAATTGAGGATGTGCTTCATTGGCTTCCCAAACTGTTTTCTGTTATAATTGTTTATCGATTTAGGACATTTCCTGGGCAACAACACTGTTATTGATGTGCTGAGACAAGCAGGATTTGAAGTGGAGCACATACCTGCAGGACAACCAGTGGAAAAGTAAGCTTCATCGATCCTTTTTCATATGCTGATCTAACATTGTAATAAAGGTTTTTTCCTTTTCATGTCAATAAGCAACTTTGATTGACCAGAACTAGCATGAACAGAAAAATTGTTGTTATTTTTAATAAGCCATTGATAAGCCATATATAGCTTACTATATGAAGAAATTATTTGTTGATGGTTTTGTTCCTGTCTTCTTCTCTAAACAAGCCAGTTAATGCAGCTTATGTCTCTCCCTCTTAAATACAATCTTTATATATATATGCACTGGCACGAAGCCGAAAGCACCAGCATGAGAATGGCGAGTGGGACCTTGCCAAAACGTCGCCAAGATACTCTTAATCTTACACGGGAAAAGACCCGAACACACC